GTGTGTGTGTGTGTGTGTGTGTGAGAGAGAGAGAGAGAGAGAGAGAGAGAGAGAGAGAGAGAGAGAGATACCAGGGATTGATTTCAGGACCCTGTGCTTGCCAGGCAGGCACTTACGTCACTGAGCTATACACCTAGCCCCAACCCATTCTATTTCTAAATAGTTCCATCAGTTAGAAAGTTGCTCCTTACATGAGACTGAAATGTGTACCCCTATATATGGCTTCCAATCACTGGTCCTAATCCTACTCCATGAGCTCATAATAAGATCAAATATATTTCCATAAACAATTTTTCTGGGGCTGAGAATATAGCTCAGTGGTACCGTGCCTGCCTGGTAAGCACAAGGTTCTGAGTTCAATTCCTGGTTTAAAAAAACAAACAAAAAAAAACCCCTTTTGCACATTTTTTCTAGTACTGAAGACAAGTCTCTTTGGCTCACATCTTTTCTTTTTTCTTTTTTGTGGTACCAGGGATTGAACTCAGGACACTGCACTTGCCAGGCAAGTATTTATTCTACTGAGCTATCTCCCTGGGCCCTCAAATCTTTTCTTAAGGCCAATAAAAATAGTCTGAGCTCTTCTAACCATTCCCTGTGTCATTTCACAATTTTAATGATTCTCTGAAAGTTTTCTTCATTGTCTCAGGTGTGGCATTCACAAAAATTTGCTCTGAAGAGTCCAGCACAGACAGCTTCTCTACACTAGTGGCACACTGACCCACAACATACCGCTGAGCTTCAAAGCACTAAAAGCAGAGGCAGGCTTCTATCCATGATAAGACTTGTTTAACCAATGTTAGAAAGTTTTCCAGATCGCTTTGCAGTGTCTTTGAGACCACAGTCACAGTTTATATTTATTAGATGGCCCAGGAACCTCGTGGATTTACAGGTGGGGGCTTTTTGGAAGGTGACTGGACCACAGGGGGTTTTCGTTTTTCTAACTGTGATGTTAGGAGATAGGGCCTGGTCTGAAGAGGCGGGTAGTGAGCATGGCCTGATAGGACACAGCACCCTCCCAGGTTCTCCTCACTCTCCACTTCCTGGCTCCATGACATGAGCAACCTCTCCTCTGCTATGCCCGTCTGCAAGCAGTCCCATCTTGGAACCAGCCATCTGAAACTGTGATCTAAAATAAACTTCTTCCTTATTAAGTTGCCCGTGTTGGGTATTGTTTCCCACAGACAAAGAAAGTTACTAAGACAGCCATGCAGACCAAAATTAAATCTATTTCCATCAATAACTCTCCCCAAACTTGATGTTTTCTAAGCACTCTATGTCAGAACCCAGGTTCTAGCCAACATTTCCCAGAGCTTTTGCAATCAGATTGTAGCTGTCCTCTCTCCTAGGGGGACTGAGTGTTCTCCCTTCACCCGCAGACAACTTCCTGGATCATTCCACTCTCATGTCCATTGTTTAAGATAAGCAATAGTTTTCTAAAAGCTCTGTTTCTCAGCAGTCTGACTAATTGGTATTAAAATACAAACCACTCAGACCATTCTTCACAAATCTTGCATTAATTCCCGTGGCACTCAGAAAAACAAAAACAAACACAGAATTATCAAAATAGTTTCCTAGGTCCTGTTACCCTCTTCGTTCTCCCATCCTCTCTGCTTATGCACTGCTCTTCTATCCCTTGCTCACCTGGCTCTACCTGCTCTGGTCTCCTCACTATTTCTTTAACACCTGTGGCATTCTCCTGCCATGGGACTTGTTCAGTGCCTCTTACTCCAGTGTCAGTAGGACTAACTCCCTTACCTTCTTTTTTTTTTTTCAGAACCAGGGATTGAACCCAGGCCCTTGTGCTTGCCAGGCAAGAACTTATTCTATTGAGTTATCTCTCCAGCTTCCTTATCTTCTTCTTAATCTTATTAATTGTTGCTCAGACTATATCTAATTCTATAACTTTCTCCTATCACATCCTCATTGATACTCTTAAATCTTCTTAGCCTGGTCCATTTTTAATTTCCACGGCACTTACCATGTTCTAACACTGTAGAATACTGGATCTTTTTCTTATTTATTATGCTTATGGTTTACTGTCCCTCCTGCTAGACAGTGGGCCCCCATGTGAGAGTATGGATCTTTTTTGCTCACTGATGTAGCCTCAGTACCAAGAACATTGGCTGTCATAGAGCAGCTTAGTGAAGATCTATTCAGTGTTGAAGAGATCTGCAGCATGCTTGAACATCTTATACCACATCTCAATGGTCTCTGCCTCCAATGCAAGTCATCCAGCCTGTCGTCTTCTTCTGTACTTCTGTCCTTCTACTACTTGTGCACTCACTTTTCTGATCTAATCTCCTGCTTCTTTCTTCTCCCCCAGACACTACTGTGCATATTTAAACCTCCTTTTTTAAAAAATATTTTATTTATTTGGTACAGGGTCTTGCTACGCAGCTCAGACTCATAGTGATCCTCCTGTCTCAGTCTCCCCAGTGCTGGAATTACAGGCGTGTGCCACCAAGCCTGGTTTCAGGGCCCACAAGCCATGCCCAGGGTTCCGAGGTTGACATAGCATGCAGTACCAGGGATCAAACTTGGGACCTTGTGCTTGCCAATCAGGCGCTTAGATCACTAAGCTGTCTCCCCAGCTTTCAATTCTCTTCTTTGTGGTTATTAAACATCCCTACATTCTCAGACCTCTCACTCAGTCTTCTCTCCTTATCTCTCTTCAACTGAAATAGGGATCTCTACTCAGGACTCTTCCTGCCCTCCAACCTTTCAGGAAGGTTGGTATTCTCTTTGCTTTCTTTCTTTTTTTTCAAATTAATTTTATTGAGAAAGAAATAGCAATGAACAGTTTCAAAACAGGTCAGTAGGGCAGTTACAATAATTAATACATCGCATATCGTTGTCTTCATAGTAGTTATTCATAGAACAAGATGCAGACATGATAAACACTATTAGTACATGTCTAAATACTATTAGTACAAATTTCTTTGCTTTCTTTGTTATTCCCTGGCTATTCTTCTTCTCCCCTTAAGTAAACAGCTCTAGTCCCATGAGGCTAACACTAGCTTAGTCTCTTCCTTGTGCCCATTTCCCACTGGCTCTCTGTTTAGTGTCTGACTCAGCCACACTGACTCTCATCTACATCCATATTATTTTGGCTTCTTGTATGCATGGCCAAATCTAGACCATGTTATCACCAAGATCTGTACCACTCTTAAAATTATAGTCTAGAAACACCACTTTTTAATTACTTAAAAAAAATTCTCCTATGCTGTTTGATCTTCTCAAAATCTCTCTTCCTCCATCTTTTCTGTACTATCACTTTCTAACAGTCTCTTAGTATTTCATTTCTTTCTAACTCAGCTGAGACACCAAGGGCCATTATTTTCTAGACCACAGCCACTCTAACCTGCATGGATTTTTAAACAGGTTGACATGATACACAGTACAAATAGATCTGAAGTAATACAAATATGCCTCTGCACACAAACCCATGTCTCATTGTATGAATAGGACTAAGTAAATTCTTTCAGTTTAAAAAAATTATCAGGATATGAATACTATGAAAGTTAGAGGATCAGTGAATTGTAATCTGTTTTTATGCTGTTCCCGCACTGTGGTGCCACGAGTTGATCAACAGAAACATCTGTAGTCTTTGCCCAGAACTGTGTTAATCTCACTGCTGTTTGTGTGCAGTGGAACTTTTGTACACCATTAGGATGACTAATGTGCTGTTATTTTACAAACTGTTATAAGGGAAAACACTTTTTATGTGTAACAATAATATCTCTCAAGCATCCACTAGGCAGTGTGTCTAGTGATAGTGCTGAAAAACACAGAACCCAAATGATAACTGGAGCATAGCTGGTTGTGATAAAATGCAAAAAGAAGGCCAAACATCCAGTTAGGGACTGTGTTGTTCATTTAGGGTAAACCACTGTACAAAATTAGACCTAATGAAGGGTAAACAAAAAAAGAAGTGTTAAAGTAAAACTATGTCACAGTACTATACATTCATGCATCCCTTATTATTATTTTTTAAATTTTTTTTGGCGGAACCAGGGATTGAACTCAGGACCTTGCGCTTGCCAGGGAAGCGCTTATTCCACTGAGCCATCTCCCTGGCCTTTTTTTTTTTTTTTTTAATTTCATGCATCCCTTAAAATATTCCCTTTATACCTTTCTCTATATTATTCTTGAAGTATGGGGCCAGGGAGATGGCTCAGTAGAATAAGCGCTTCCCTGCCAAGCGCAAGGGCCTGAGTTCAATCCTTGGTTCCACAAAAAAAAAAAAGTATGAATTATAAATTGTGGGACCATTATAGGAACACATCTATCACACAAAATATGATTTTTTTTTTTTTTGTGATACCGGGGATCAAACTTAGGACATTGTGCTTTCCAGGAAGGTGCTTATGCTGCCAAGCTATTTCCTATTTTCCTGAAGTCCAGTACGCTCCTTTTCCATGAAATGCTTCTCCTTCCCTTGTTACATCATAGGTGTCTAGAAAATAATGTAGCAATTATGATTAAGGGCTGTGGAGCCAGATTTCTTGCATCTGATCCTCCAGCTCAACCATTTTCTAGTTGTATGGTTTCAGGAAAGTTTTTAACCAGAGTTTTCCTTATCAGAAAAATTCAGATGATAATGGTACCTATTCTAAAGAGTCCTTGTGAGGACAGAATGAGTTGACACATGTACAATAAGAGAACTCTGCACAATACTGAGTATTTTTGCCATCTTCTCATCAACCTTTGATGATACTTGTAAAGCTGAATATATTTCATTGGGTTACAAAAATAAAGTGCATCTTTATTGACAGAATATGCATTAGTATAAGATACAGAAATATGAAGATTTTGCAGTTTTCATTTGAACTGTTGCAGAAGCCACCACAGCTCTGAGTCTATACCAGTGCAGGCAAAACATAGCCTTTCTAGCACAAGTTCTAGGTATGCAGTATGACTTCAGAGCCTGCTCAGACACTGATACTGGTGTCAGGTGAGTCATCAGTAGGAGTTAGGGGGCGTTTCTTTAACCATCTTACCTTTAGTCTGTCTTTGGGTAGCGCAACAACCCCTTGCTTAATGATTTCCAAGACCCGTTCCACTGATAACTCAGCTCCAGCTTGCAGCAGTCTTGAGCTAAAGAAGGTAATCACCTGTAATGGAAAGAGTTCTTTTTAAACAAGTAGTTGCATATGATGTATTTTCAGTAAATGCCTTTGTGACATGGTAGTCAAACCATCATAATTCCATTTCTGAAGTGACATGGCTTCTACTTTACCTATCTTCCCGAATGCAGTCCTTTCTTTTTAGGGCTTGATGGCTATATGAGAGCCAAGCCTGGGTATTCAGGGCTGATCATTCATTCACTCTGAATTAAGTGGCTTCCAAAATTCTGCTCTTTGTTGTGCTGCCCCACCTTGCACTTATATTTCATTTAGAAAGTTCCCAGCAGAAGTAGGAAATAAAAGCTAAATCTTACAACTTGTCAGGTTTGAAGCTTACTAGGAGGTCCTAGAAAAAAGCTTAATAGGAAAGGAACTTTAACTTAATGGCTATAGTGATGTTGTGGGGATTACCGATGAATTTATTTATACACATCATCCTTATCCTTGATTACCAAGGATAATCAACAGAAGCTATAATTACCTTTGTTTCATGTCAGAGCACAGCCTAAATTATGTTGCAAGATGCTAATGCAGTAGCACTCTGGAAATAGCATTTGAATATTTGTCATTAAAAATGACAGAGTGGGAGATACAATTCAGTGGAAGAGTACTTGTCCAGTATGTGTGAGACTCTGGATTTAATCCCTGCACTGCAGAAAAGCAAGCAAGTGAGCGAGCAAGCCAGCCAGCCAGCCAGCGAACCCACCTGCCCCACCCACCGAACCAAACCAAAAATGAAATTCAAATAAATCTAAAAGATTCCTACCATATTTTAGCAAATCATTTTTAAAATCACAATGCTAGTAAATGAAGAAAACTGCCAACCTATTTGTATTTGAGAGTAATACATATCTATTGTCAGACTTGGAAACATGCAAAATTTGTTTTCTAAAGTTGAGCTTTCCTTTTACTTGTTTTCTATTTATAGGTAAATACATAATTCTATGCAGACATTTTAATGTTTTCTTTAAAGTGATCTCTTACATATTAATTATGGTAGGATACAGTGAAGTCTTTTAGTGGAAAGTACACGTCTTTTACAAATGCTACTGCAATTTGTTCTGGAAAGTAAAGCTGCTTTGTGAAGAAAGAAAAAAAAAAGGCATTATAGAGTAGAAGCACACCTGTTAGAAACACATCCTAAGAAGTGGAAAAGTACCAGGCAGTAGGTAGTCTCAGGGCAGATGCCTGAGACTTACAAATGGTTTTCTAATATTTACTAAAAGCAGACATTTGCTATTGGAGGCTTTCTGGCTCACAGTTGTAGATAAGTTATTCTCATAAAGAAGAGTTTTCAGACATGGCTAACCATAAGCGGTAGCTGGGCAGCCTTATGGAATACTGATCTTGGGGCCTAGTCAGAAAACTTCTACTTTGTTTTCTCCATGGGATTTTGATGACAGCCAGAATCTGTAAGTCTCTAAATTTTTCTTATTGTATATGCTACACATTTTTAGAAAGGGGAAAAGGGAAGATGTATATATGCAATATATGCTGTATTTATTTATAAATTATACAACATTTCTCAACATTGTTTTATATATAAAATGTACCTAAAAGAAAAGTGCTGAATTGATGATACAAAAAGCTTTTTTGTATTCATTAAAATATTATTTCAGCTGCTTGGGAGGCTGAATATTACAGGTTTTAGGTCAAATTAGTAAGAACACATCTCAAAAAATAGAAAGGCTCAAAAAAATAAAAATAAAAAATAAAAAGGCTTGGCAATGTAGCTCAGTGATATAGCCCTCTGGCTCAATCTCTAGTATATCAAACCAACAACAACAGAAAACAATTTGATAACTGGCTATCATGTCTTGCTAATCACCAAGGCTTCACATTATCGTCAACAAGTAAAATACACATTCATAGTAAGACACACTGCTTATCTCAGCTGATATAAATCCATAATGGAAACAGTCTTCCGGATAATGTTTATGGAGCCATGTTTTAGAGATGGGTTCATCATTGTTTCTACCTTACAACATGGCACTGGCTCTAGGATGAGAGGGATTATCAGTTCCATCATTATCTTTTGTCATGTGTACTAATACGACATGCAGTATTAAGTTCAATGTGGAGGGTAATACAATACAGTATTTTGTGAAGCCTTGTTTAATGGAATCTAACCATTGTAGCTAGGAACACAACTGTACAATAAAATCATGGGAATAGCAAGAGGAGTGTGTACGAATGTTAAGCCCCACATGCTGGGTCACCTGTGCTTTCCCTAGAATACCCAGAGCTCTGGGGCTGATTCTGGCACAACGTCATGGCCAATACTATTAGTAAAACACAATCTGTGCTTAGATGAACAAATAACGCCACAATATATTCTTCCCATATGCCTCTTGCAACTCCTAGGGTCTGGGCCTAGGAGGTTGCTGACTGAGATAACCAAGCTCAGTGGAGAACAGTGTTCACATACTCAAATATAACACATGGCAACTGAGAGAGTGCTCACACGTCACCTCCCCAAAGATCACAGTGATGTGATGACAGTGCCGTTTTGTTCACTCTGTGGCCTACACTGGCTTGCTTCTGAGTCACAAGAAATTTCCATCCCACCAGAAGAGCTGCAGGGCAGGCATGGGGCTCATGTTCCAAGCAAATTTATTGTTTCAAAAGAGTATTGTGTGTATGTTATTATTTGTTTGTGTTTTTGGTCTTTTTGAGGTAGGGTCTTGCTAAGAAGTTCAGGCTGGCCTTGAGTTCTCTTTGTAGCCCAGGCTGGTCTCAAATTCACAATAATCCTCCTGCCTCAGCATCTGGAGTGCTGGGATTACAGATGTGTACTACCACTCTTGGCTATTTGAATGTTTTAGGGCTGACACTCTAGTTTTTGCATTCAAATTGACACTACTCTAGAAAATGATGAAAAATTACTTTTCAGAAGGGTAATATAATCTACACGTTACTAAGAAGGAAAGGAACCTGTACTAAATGCTTACTATGGACTATGTGTTCTTCATATACATTTATTTCATTCTCACAGAAAATTTATGAGGCTGATAAAATCTGTTTCACAGATAAGTAAATGGGATCAGAAAGAAAAGAGGCCAGACCAGAGTTACATAGGTGCACATCACAGAATGAAGCTCAGGTATTTCTTCTGACTTTGCTATGTCTTTAACAAGCTTACATAGCAAGATGGAGCACAGATTATGTTTTTTGAAATAGAAAATATCTGACATAAAATGTATAGCTTGTTTAGCCTAAATTTTCAGATTGAATTGAACTGAAATATCAGCAAAGAATGTAAAACAATTCAAAGATAAGATCTTATATTTCTCATTGCCAGTTTAGAATTCTGCATACACTAATTTTAGTGATGATGACTAGACAGAAACATTTTAATCACTGTGCACAACACTCATGAAAACTGTGAAAGTGGATACATGTTTCCCTCCAAAATGTGTTCAAGATACAGCCAATAATAAAGGAAAATTAAAGTGGAAAATTTAGCTCAAATGGGAATGAATGCTTTGTTAATATAACTCAAATGCAACCTTTCAAAGGAAAGTACTTTCCCACAGTGCATGTTTTACAACTTCCTCCACCTACTATATTTATGGGCATCTCATGAAATCCGAGTACTGTACAGCATTATACTATGAGCTTTACCTCCCATTATACCATAACTTTGAACCATGACCGTCCAATTTCATGTTCTGATTAATCAGTTGTACTCTTCAAGTAACCACAAAATCACACTTAACTACCTGCCATGAAACTGGTGAATGATCATTACATCATAGATTTACAAAGAGGAAAGGATTTTCAGCTGGGTGTGGTGGTCCAACCCTGTAATCTCAGCAATCTGAAAGGCTGAGGCAGGAGGACCACAAGTTTGAGTCCAGCCTGTACAACTGAGTGAGACCCTGTCACATGCACACATAAACAAACACATGCAATAAAATCAATAAAACAAATGACTTGGGAAGACACACACATACATACACACATACACAGAGACAGAGACAGAGACAGAGAGACAGAAAGAACGAGCAAGACAGTGACAGTACTTTTCTGGGGATGGCAGATACAGGTAAAATAGAGTCAGTATGTGCTAGCCCCACAAATATTCTTCTTTAATAAATAACTACTCTTGCAAGATTCTGAGCTTTCTTTTCTTCATTTTTTACAAATTAATTTTATTGAGAAACAAATAGCAATGAGACAGTTTCAGAACCGATTAATATGACAGTTTCAATAATCAGTACATTGCATATTGTTGTCTTCGTAGTGGTTACTCATAGTAAAAGATGCAGACATGATATCCTGTCCAGATACTATTAGTACAAATCCTTCTCAGTGAATTAAGGGAAAGCAGCTGTATATCTATCCTATTTTGTATACACAGATACAAAATGGTTTTTCATTTATATCCCCTTTTTTTTGTTTAGTTTTGTCAGAGATGGGTATTCCATTGCCATTTAGATATTGTAGGTGTGTGAAGTCAGCAAAATAATCCAATTTAGTCCAGTAGTCCGTAATAGTAGTGGGTTATCTGCAGGACTGGCAATGTCAGAAGTTGCTGATTTAAGCCTTCTACAGCTCAGCATATTAATATGGCTTTACTTTTCATACCTCGTTTTTATACCTTTTTGCTGGATGGTTAAGACCAAGATAAATCAAGACCTATATAACAAGAAATGTAACTTTTGTATCTGACAAGGTCAGTCAAATCTCCTCAGGATTAATCCTGAAACCCTGTACCACAGTTTGTAGATCCTTTGTCAGTGTTAGCCGTGTGAATGAGTCATGGCCATTGCTTGACCAATTTGCTGTCTGTGAAAGCTTGAGAGAATGTTTTCTCTCCATGTGACTCTCCTTAGGCACACTCTACATCATTGATCACTTTCCTCTGTGGCCCAATAATCTCCTTGATCAGAAAATTTGGGACATCACTGAGATACAGGATGTTATAGTACAGGTTCTCTTATGTCCTGAGTCCTCACTGACCTTGAAAAGCTAGGGCCGGGCTG